CTTTAAGTGACAGTTAAACTGCAGCAGATATCGGGCTCCCTCATTTGCTAGACAAGGTTGTGCTCTGTAAATCTCTGGGCTTCATGGACAGAAATACAAATCCTCTTGACAGGCAAGAGAGCTCTTGAATATGTCTTTCATCTGCATGTTTAGCTGTTTGCCTGAAGTTCAGCTTTAGGGCCTGTTCACACGACGTCCGTTTTGTGTGCTGACCGGTTCAGTACGCTGCTGCACTCAAAATGCATCCCAATGTATCCCTATGTGTTTTATGGGCTCCAGTTCTCACGTGCGCAGTCCGTTCAGCTTACGACAGAAAAAATACTGCATGCCACATTTTGTCAGGTCCGGAAATGGAACGGATACGCAAACGCGTCAAAAACGCACTGCGCTGCAGCTAACATACTAACAGCCCCACTCCAGCAAAAAAAATAAAAAATGTTTTTTTTGCTGGAACGCATCCAAAACGCGGCCAAAAACGCAATGCATCAGCAGCTCCATGTCTGCTGATCAGGACCTGATCTCATGTGAACAGGCCCTTAAAGGGCGACTGAAAACAAAACTTTTTTTTTAGTTTTTGGATAGAGTGGAAAGGAATTAGAACAACTGTCAGGCTTTAATTGCTGTGTCCCCATTAGACCCCTTTCACATGGCTGGTTCGATCGGGTCCGCCTGTCAGTTTTTCAGACGGACCCCATCGGATACCCAATACTTTGTCTATGGGCAGCCATGTGTAAATGGATGGGCGTCCGTTTGCACCCGGTTACCCCTGACTCCGGCCAGGTCCAGAAAAACAAACAGAACAGTGTTCAGTTTCACGGGCCTCATCGCGCCGGACCGGGGGTAATCAGATGTAAACAGACACATATTCGTTTACATCCCATTCCCATAGACATACATGGGATCCGGTAATTGCAGTTTTTTCATCCAAACTGTATGAACACGGATGTCACAGTGGTGACATCCCACTTCATACTGCTGTGATCAGGAGAGCATCTGTGCACGGATCCTCTCCCGATCAGCCCATGTGACAGGGGCCTTAGGAATTTTAGACTGTCATTGGAAATCTTTCAATGGGGACACTAGCTCTGGAGACCCTGCTGACCACAATGGATTTCCCTCTCTGTGGAGGGTTTTATTCTCCTTTCCTGTTGTGTCTATCAGACAGGAAGTGAAAGGAAATCTCCCCAATGGCACACAGATGGCAAATTTTTAAAAAAGCTGATGGGGTAATAACACTCCATTACACTATGCAAAACTAAAAAGGTATTGGCTTCAGTTCTACTTTAAAGCAGAACTCGGAGCAAATTAAGTGTTAACCCTTGCAATCGGGCTACCCCCTAGACTGCAAGGGTTAAGTGCACGATTTGTCTAGGGAGCTAAAAAAACGTTATACTCGCAGGAATCATGATCCCGATCCCAGCCTGCTCCTACCCTACTCCCTTCAGCCTCGCTCCCCCCTGCTCCAGCAGTCTAAGATCCTGTGAGCCTTCCGGCTTCCTGATTGGCCGGGAAGCTGGCTCCATGCAGATTGGTTGGGAAGCTGGCTTCCCGGCCATTCAACACCGAGTCGGCCGAACAGCTGGCTCCTTGCTGATTGGCTTGAAAGCCGGCTTCCCGGCCAATTAGCATTGAGTCAGCTTCCCGACCATTCAGGGAGAGCAGGTCATTACTTGCCACCCAGCTTCCTGATTGGCCGGGAAGCTGGCTCGATGCTGATTGGCTGGGAAGCTGGGTTTTCAGCCAATCACAATCAAGCCGGCCAAACAGGGAGCCGGCCTCCCGGGCCAATCAGGAAGTTGGACGGCATGTCATTACTCGCAGCCCGGCTTCCTGATTGCCCGCGAAGCCGGCTCCATGCCAACGGAAGCACGGTACTTGGTATTGGTGAGTACCGAAAGCAAAATATCAGTACTCGATACCGAAAAACCAGCATCAGTGCATCCCTATCAAAAAGAACAGACAAACAGGTTTACATACACAGATGAAATACGTATATGGGAACTATTTTACCTACTGTACGAAAAGAATTGTATGTCTGTCCATCCAATCCAGAGATTTTCACAGCTCTGCCACACAGTACAGTCAGCATGGAGACCTGACTTCCTATTGCAGCAGAACTCCAGACAAACCGCTAAGTACAAAGATTAAATGCATACTTTGTCAGGTAAAACTGATCAGGCATTTGTATTCCTGTCTATCCAGTCCTGAGAATTACATAGTTCTACTACACAGCGCAACCCTGTTTAGCAGGGAAAGGGACCTGAACTTTCTCAGCTGCAGCTTCACTTACAGTCCCCTCCCCCACCCTGTGACTGGCACAGGGAAACAGCACAATGATGAGCTCATCTCTTTGTCACTGTGCTCTCTCCACCTGTCAGTATGGCACCTTGCACTGCAGCACACCTGACTGGTACCTTGTGTAGGGTTGCCACCTTTTCATCAAGCAAAACCCGAACGCTCTAGCGACGCGCAGACATTTTTTTGGCGTCGCGGCTTATTCATATTTAAATAGCGCCACCCATTCATATGTAAATATCACAGTCGAGACTGTTCAGTGAAGGGCCAGTAGCCTCTATCTTAATTTTGGTTGCTGCTGCCATGAAACCCGGACACAGCATTCAAAACCCGAACTGTCCGGGTGAATCCTGGACGGGTGGCAACTCTAACCTTATGCTGCCTCTCCATTCCCCTCTCAGCTGCTTTGCATTAAAATGGAATGCCCGCTGACAGCCCCAAAAATACAGCCTTTTTACTGCCTCCCAATTTATAGTCCTTTATTTTGGGGGGTAGGGGAGATGTCATGATTTTTAATATACATGTACCCAAATCAGGGTGTTTGTATCTGTCTGGTGTTCAGCTTTAAATACATTTCTAAATGACCTAGTGTAGGTAGCTGACTCTGTAGTTAGCACTATGACTGGGGGTATGGGGGCAATACAGGCCAACTGGGCAACAACAAAGAAAAGAGCAAGCAGAGGGATGAGTTTGCCAGTCTCCTGTTTCTCCTGCCTTGTCCAATCCGCAGGCTGGGGAAGTGTGTGCTATTACAGTGGAGGTTGAGAACCTGGCTTTTTTTTTTTGCTGGGGAGGCGGAAC